GATTCCCGACAGCGAACTACCCGAGCAGAGAGACGTCGCTCTAGTTAACACCGCTAGGAGCAAAGCGGAACTTGAATTGCTGCTACAGTTCTTCTCGTTACACCACCTTCTTCGTGTCACAGCATGGTGTTGCCGATGGACTGGTTCCGTCACCTGCGCCAAGGGTCGGAGTACCGACCACGCTGTGTCACCGGTGCTCCTGCCAGCCGAATTGGATGACGCCCTCTTCAGATGGCTCCGCGTGGTACAAGCATTACACTACCACGCCGAAATCACCGCCGTCACCGAAAACCGCATCGTGCCGCTGCGCGGACCACTGGCAAGATTGCAGCCTTTCCTGGACGACAATGGCGTGCTCCGAGTCGGGGGACGGCTCAAGCACGCCACTCTACCGCATGATGAACGGCACCCGATGATAATTCCCCCATCCTCATGGCTAACACGGTTGATCGTGGAATCTTGCCACCGTCGGACCCTCCATGGGGGCGTACAACTCACTCTCGGACTAATCCGACACCGATTCTGGTTCCCACGAGGACGAGCCGTGGTGAAGCATGTGTTGCACGTCACGCATGAAGATGCGTGACATGCACTCGATGGCGAGCGGCATCCTCACAACCTCCGATGGGTAACCTGCCGCGCGGGCGCGTGACCCCCGCTCGCCCGTTTCTTCGGACTGGAGTGGACTACGCCGGGCCGATTCTTGTCCGCACTAGCAAGGGGCGAGGTCATCGGGCCCACAAGGCCTTCATTGCCGTCTTCATCTGCCTCGCCTCCAAGGCGGTCCACCTCGAGGCGGTGTCCGATTACACGACAGAGGCCTTCCTCGCCGCTTTCCGTCGTTTCACCTCGCGGCGCGGCCTGTGCGCCGAGGTTTTCTCGGACTGCGGTACCAACTTCGTGGGAGCCGATAGAGTACTGCGAGAATTCTTCAGGGCCGCGTCACCCGACGGCCGTCACATCGCTAACGCCGTGACCGACCAAGGCATCAGGTGGCACTTTAACCCGCCGGCCGCACCACACTTTGGTGGACTTTGGGAGGCCGCGGTAAAGTCCACTAAACACCACCTTCGTCGAGTCATCGGCGAAACTACACTCACGTTCGAGGAACTGAGCACCTTCCTCGCTCAAGTCGAGGCTTACTTAAACTCATGGCCACTGCAGGCTCTCTCAGACGACCCGGACGACGTTTCAGCACTAACGCCGGGTCACTTCTTAATCGGTGCCCTTTTCTTGGCCGTGCCCGAGCCGCCACTCACACAGAAGAAGGACAACGCAATATCCCGGTGGCAGCATCTACAAAAAATGCGCGACCACTTTTGG